TATATATATTAATTAATATATAATATTTGATTTCAAGTACCAAATTTGAGAGTACTCATGAGAGTAAATTATACATCTTTTTTATGTAAACTTATATGTTTAAATGTGCATGTATTGTTTTTTTTGTTTTTTTGCTTGTGTCAAAGCATTACTGCATTATGTAAAGAGTAAGAGATTACTTAATGAACATTTAAATAAGTAGAAATATAAGTTTTCATAATATTTCACTGTAATTGAACTTGACTTATTAAGGTAAGTTACCAAATTGAAAACATTACCTATTTTTGAAAATAGAAGATAGAATTTAGCTTTGGCATTTGCTGATGAAAGCTGTGAATTTCCACATTTTGGTCAAATAAGGAAGTCCTCAGGAAGAAATCGAAAGTTCTGGTGTGAACACAGCTCTGCTGAACATGTTGAGATTTGTATGTTTGACTTATAAAGAGAATGACTCTAATAACCTCTTGTTTAGTCTGAGTCATAAATCTATGTTGATTAGTATTTTGTTGGTTGTGAGAGGTTTACTCAGAATCAGGAATGTCTGTGCACCTCTTTCTGATCTTTAGTCTCCCTGAGGCGCTTGGCAGAACCACCAGCACAGTGCTCGATTCCTCTTGCTCTCAAACAACCTCACACAGTACTGTTTTTAACAGTTAGGGAGGGACAGATGTGATTTTTCGTGATCACTCAGCTCTTTCAGTTCCCTGTCCTCATTTTCACTTTCTAAGGTAAGATGTCAGTGGGGGTCTCTCCATATACCCACGAGGTTGAAATATACCAGTCATTGTATTTCAGTAGAAGCAAACCAAGAGTAACAATAAATGTTTTTTTTTTTCTTGCGTATAAAACCACAACCACAAAGGGCCACGTGCACAAAGATTGAAACACATACACACTTGGGCAAATCCCAGTCTGTTGTTGTGGACACAATTCTTCAGAATTCTTATTCAGCTTTCAAAATGTAACACTCAGATATGAATAGATCATATTATAAAGACAACAACATGTTTTAAAAAGTGTCATTTATGTTATACATTTTACTACAGC